TGACACAGCAGTGTCTCACTCCCGATCCCCGTACTCACTGACACAGCAGTGTCTCACATCCCGACCCATGTACTCACAGACGCATTGATCAGTGTCTCACGCCAAACCCCTATACTCACTGATGCAGCAGTGTCTCACGTCTGACCCATGTACTCACTGACACAGCAGTGTCTCACATCCCGACCCATGTACTCACAGACGCATTGATCAGTGTCTCACGCCGAACCCCTATACTCACTGATGCAGCAGAGTCGTGGGATGCGGTGTCTCACGAGGCACAGGCAGACGACGGCCGCGATGGCCCCGATCGGCGACAGCGCGGTGACGTACGGCTCGTAGTTGTCCATGACGCCCAGCCTCCACGCGACGAGCACACCAAGGAAGCTACCTGCAAGCCCGCCAATGATCGCCACGAACCCATACACGCTGACCGTCGCCGCGTCTAGATACGGCATCGCCGCACACGGACGTCTCACTGCGCGAGAATGAGAAGAGGGGGGAAATGAGTTCTTCTTCTTCTTCTTCTACTTTTTTTACTTCCTTGCTCCTCACTGTACAAGAATCAGAAAAGGGGGAAAATTTGTTATCCTTTTTATCACATTGCAGCATCATTTTGCAACACGCTTAGAGCGCGAAAGTGGTTTCATTTCAATTTGATCTGGAATTTCCAATGGGTGGCCAAGTGGGTGGGTGGTTGGTGTTAGTGGTTGGGTTTCTTGGTGGTGTATAGTTGGGTATACGAGTGGGGCAGCGAATGGCGGTGCATCGGGCCGTAGATGGGTGGGTTGTGATGTCGGTTGAATAATGGTAGGAATGGGGGTAAATGTACGTGATGGGCAAATATTTGGTCTGCAATGCGGTGATACACAGCAGTAATATATTATTATGAGAATTACTAGCGCAATTATGACGTATATTAAAATTTGATACCACCGTATGTGGGTTCCTTCGAGCGTTGCCTGCGCAACCTCGTTTGCGTCTAATATACGTCTGCTATTTGCAATAGCATCTTTTAGGTGATCAAAAGAAATATCCAAATCATGGGTTTCATATAATTTGTGGGGTAAAATTGAAGATGAGATTAAATCTGTGGCGTTCCCGTTTTGATGTGCGGCTAAGTCCGCCCATATAGGTATATAGGAATCTCGAGCTGTTTGGGTAAAATACAAGACAATGCGGATGTTAGATTGACTGTAGAATCATGATAATAAAATGTTGGGAGGGAGAGTTCCTCGGAGTGCGCACTACATCCTGACTGTAGGGAAACAATAATATTATTTGTCTAGTGGTTATCTGGATATCTGTTACAACGGGAACATGGTTATTAGACGTTTGACATGAAATTGTCAAGCGAAATGTTTTAATCGGCGCTATGACCCAAAGACCGTTTCCGATGTAGGTTATTATATGTTTTGGATGAGACGAGAGATTAACTGATGTATGAATACGTTCTGAAAGTCGCTGATAACGGGTTCTAAAATCTGCTGCATGCTTCTTTATAAATACCTCTATAATTTCTCTGAATTGGCTGTTGTTTTCATCAATCTCGCGCTGTTGGAGTAGCTGTGCCGTATTATTTATGTGTGATGTGGGAGTGGTTGTTGTAGTATTAGGATGAAACCATTTCCTTATGGCGTCTCGATATACGTTCGTACTGGTATCTCGGGTGGATAAATTGAAATATACCTGTCTAGCTGCTGGCGAACGTTGCGTGCGCTCCGTGAACAAATACTGGATTTGGTCATCAATATTTCTCATGTAAGTCTTAACGGGTGATAAGTCTAAGGAAAAAACACAATGGTCCAGGAACTTTGCGTAATGGTTGCTTTTTTGAACTTACCACTATGCGTAGAATCTTCATCTTCATCAGAAATAGGACCAAAGACTTCTGAAGAACGAAACAACGTAATATAAGACGTATTACACAGAGGCAGCCACGTATCTATGCAAATATGAAATGCAAGCATGCATGGACTATAGCCAATTTATCACTAGCCATAACAAGCCTAGATCTTTTGGTTTCACGTCAGAATACATGATTTATGCATGTGTAGGGGCAATTCTCCTGAAATGATGGCTCACCTATTTACAAATGCACGTGCAGTATAAGAGAGTATGCCCTCACGCAATCCCCTGCAGCCGTGCCTCACTTTCCCGACTCATGTACTCACTGACACATCAGTGTCTCACATCCCGACCCATGTACTCACTGACACAGCAGTGTCTCACGTCCCGACCCATGTACTCACAGACACAGCAGTGTCTCACGTCCGACCTACGTACTCACAGACACAGCAGTGTCTCACTCCCGATTCCCGTACACACTGACAGCAGTGTCTCACGTCCGACTCATGTACTCCCTGGCACATCAGTATCTCACGCCCGACCCATGTACTCACTGACAGCAGTGCCTCACATCCCAACCCCTATAATACTCACTGACACATCAGTGTCTCACGCCCAAACCATGTACTCACTGACACAGCAGTGTCTCAC